CTCTCACTCTCTCTCTCTCTCTCTCTCTCTCTCTCTCTCTCTCTCTCTCTCTCTCTCTCTCACTCTCACTCTCACTCTCTCTCTCTCTCACTCACTCCCTCTCGCTCTCGGTCTCGCTGTTCCAAACGCCTTTGCACTTTGCCCTTTGCTCTCACCTCATCAGCCGCCCGCCTTAATTTGCAACATTAATTCTCTTCTCCCCACACCATCCTCCCCCCCCCCTTCCTTATCCACCCCTTTCCCCTCCCTTCACCCCCCCCTCTTTCTCCCATTACCCCTCGTGGCTCCCCTTCGCCACGCCCACTTCCGAAAAAATAAAAATCCTTTGTCCCTCCCTGTCTCCCCTCCCCTCCCCCCCCCTGTGAACACGGCGTCTTAGCTGAACCCTTTCCATCCCTGCGCTTCTCCCTCTTCCTCCTCTCTTCCCCTTTCGCTAATTCTCGTTTTTTTTACTTCTCCTCCTCTTCTCTCTCTCTTTCGTTTCTCTTACTTTTTTTTTTCTTTGCTCTTCCTCCTTCTTCTCTTTTCTTTTCGCTGCCTGAATTTTCTTTTCTTTCTTTCTCTTTTCTTTTTGCTTTCTCCTTGTTTCTCTTTGCTCTTCTTCGTCTCTCTATTCTTCCTCTCTTTCCATTGCCCTTTCTTCATCTCTTCTCCTCTCTTCCCTATCGTACATTTCCTCTTTTCTTTTCCACCTCTTTTCTTTCAATCTTCTCCCCTCTCACCTTCCGTCTCTCGCTAACCTTTATCTCTTTTCCTCTCTCCCTTTTTCTCCTCCCTTTTATCCTCCCGTCTATCCTCAATCCTCTTCTTCCTCCATCCTTTACTCCTCCTGTTCTTCCTTCTTTTTTCAGGGGGGTTTCTTCCTCTTTTCCACTCCTTCCTCCCTCTCCTCTTTTCCCTCTTCTCTTCCCTCCCTTTCTCCTTCCCCCTTTCCTCCTCTTCCCCTTCCCTCCCTCCTCCTTCCCTACCCCCTTCCTTCTCCCCTTCTCCTCTTCTTCTCCTCCTCTTCCCCCTCTCCCCTTTCCTCCTCTTCTTCTCCTCCTCTTCCCCCTCTCCCCTTTCCTCCTCTCCCCCTCTCCCCTTTTCTCCTCTTCCCCCTCCCCCCTTTCCTCCTCTCCCCTCCTCCCTTTCCTCCTCTTCCCCTCCCCTCCCCTTCCTCTCCCCTCCCCCCTTTCCTCCTCTTCCCCTCCCCCCTTTCCTCCTCTCCCCCTTCTCCCCTCCCCTTCCTCTCCCCCCTTTCCCCCTCTTCTCCTTCTCTCTTTCCTCTTCTTCTCCTTCGCTCAGGAAACCCAAGCATCATTCGTCCCGGCAGATTCCCTGGTCCGCCTCACGCATCTAGATCTTCCTTTGTTCTCACGGCCTCTCAAGCCCTGGGGGAAAATACTGACTATTCATGCCTCGTTTCTGCCCAGTTCATTGAGCCGATTATAGTAAATTTTAATTATAATGGTCGTATCAATAAACGCATGGGGGTCATCACTTTCTGATCCTTTTTGCATCTATTTCTCTGTTCTTCCCTTTTTTTTCTTTTTCTTTTTTTTAATGCATTTACCAAAGATGAAAATCAAACGTACGAAAATATCGAGACTTTTTACAACCACAGAAAAAAAAAAAAAAATCAGGCGAGAGTCATAAAACGATTTCTTTTTATTTTATCGAGATGGAAAATATCAGTAGGTTCTAATACCGTGACCTCTCTAAATGACCTGACCTCCACCGGAACATCACGAGGAGGGCAGAGAGGTGAAGGTAAGCATAGGAAGGAGTGAGAACGTGTGAGAGATTAGGTCACCCTATGATCTAGTGTGATATATTCGAAAGGGAGAGTGCAAGAGGAGGGGCACGGGAGGGGGGGGGGGGGGGGGCAAGAGGAGGGGCACGGGAGGGGGGGGGCAAGGGGAGGGGCACGGGAGGGGGGGGCAAGGGGAGGGGAGTAAGGGAGATGGGGAGGAGAGGGAGAGTAAGGGGAGGGAGGAGGAGAGGGAGAGCAAGGGGAGGGGGAAGGGAAGACGAGTGAGGGAGAGTGCCAGAGGAGGGCCAAGGGAGGGGGGGGGCAAGGGGAAGGGAGTAAGGGAGATGGGAGGAGAGGGAGAGTAAGGGGAGGGGGAAGGGAATACGAGTGAGGGAGAAGAGGGGAGAGGGAGAGCAAGGGGAGGGGGAAGGGAAGACGAGTGAGGGAGAGTGCAAGGGGAGGGGAGTAAGGGAGATGGGGATGGAAGGCGAATGAGGGAGAAGGGGAAGGGAGGGAGTGCATGGGAGGGGGGAGGGGGAAAGATAGAAAAGTTAGGGAGAAGAAGGAGAGAGGAAAGGGAGAGGATAGGGAAGGGGAGTGAGAGAGAAAAAGGGAAAGGGGGGAAAGGCAAAGGAAGAGGGGAAGGTGGGGGATGAGGGAGAAGACGGTAGGGAAGAGAGGGCGTGAGGGAGAGAGAGTGAGGATGAGGGACCGTGACGGAGAAAGGGGAAGAAGAGGAGAGGGCGAAAGTGAAAGTGCATGATAGAAGAACACGCTAAAGAAGAAAAAAAAAATAAAGACGAGACGCAAGGAAGAATGAAGAAAGGATAGACAGAGAAGAACCAAGAGGGAGAAAACGAAAGGACACAGGACACAAGAGAGAAGAGGGAAGAGAGCGCGGACGCGAAGAAGGGGGGAAAGGAGGGGAAAATAAAGACGGGAGGGAGGGAATACGAGAGAAGGTGAAGGAAGGAAGGGAGAGGAGGGGGGGAGGGGGGAAATCACCCCTTCAGCTGGCGGATATTAGATGCTTTGTACGAGACTAAGGGATTAGATGACGTTTGTGAATAATGCTCATACTCTCCTTTGCTGTTCCCTGCTTTACGACTTAAAGGGTTGGCTTTATGGAAGGGAAGAAAAGAGAGAGAGAGAGAGAGAGAGAGAGAGAGAGAGAGAGAGAGAGAGAGAGAGAGAGAGAGAGAGAGAGAGAGAGAGAGAGGAGGGGGAAGGGAAAGGGAAGAAAAGAGAGAGAGGGGGGGAGGGAAAGGGAAAGAAAGCGAGAGAGAGAGAGGGTGGGGGAGGGGGAAGTGGAAGGGAAAGGGAAAGAGAAGAGAGAGAGAGAGAGAGAGAGAGAGAGAGAGAGAGAGAGAGAGAGAGAGAGAGAGAGAGAGAGAGAGAGAGAGAGAGGAGAGAGAGAGAGAGAGAGAGAGAGAGAGAGAGAGAGAGAGAGAGAGTGAGATATATATACATATATATATATATATATATATATATATATATATATATATATATAGAGAGAGAGAGAGAGAGAGAGAGAGGGAGAGAGAGGGAGGGAGAGAGTAAGAGAGAGAGAGAGGGGGGAGGGAAAGGGAAAGGAAAAGAGAGAGAGGGGGGGGGGAGGGAAAGGGAAAGGAAAAGAGAGAGAGAGAGGGTGGGGGAGGGGGAAGTGGAAGGGAAAGGGAAAGAGAAAGAGAGAGAGAAAGAAAGAGAGAGAGAGAGAGAGAGAGAGAGAGAGAGAGAGAGAGAGAGAGAGAGAGAGAGAGAGAGAGAGAGAGAGAGAGAGAGAGAGTGAGATATATATACATATATATATATATATATATAATATATATATATAGAGAGAGAGAGAGAGAGAGAGAGAGAGAGAGAGAGAGAGAGAGAGAGAGAGAGAGAGAGAGAGACAGAGAGAGACAAACAGACAGACAGAAGGAGAGAGAGAGGGGGGAAAGGGAAAGGGAAAGATGAAGAGATAAAAAAAAACAAAAAAACGAAGAGACGAAGAAAAATAGATAGACGGAAGATATTAAGGAAACATGAAACGGAAGGAGAAATGGAGGGGGGGAGGGGGGAAAGATATAATGATATAATGAAAAGAAATCAAATATATATATTTTTTTTTCTAAGCGATTTTCTGAATATAAACAAACTTTCCGTATATATAACAGACCGCTTTGGCACTGTCTCCCCCAGTCCGAATTTGCATAATTGCACAATATTACAATATCCCTTCTTGAAATAAACCACGTGCATTTGGCGGAAACTACTGGACACGCGTTTATGCAACATAATCTTTACTAATAATAAAAATAATCTTACAAATGCATTGGAACCATAGTTCTTTAAATTGGTTGCAGTCATTTTGTGTGTATGTTAGTATATTAAGTATACAAATGTGTGTACTTCTATACATATACATATGCATATATATATACATATACTATCTGTATATGTGTATATATATATATATATATATATATATATATATATATATATATATATATATATATCATACATACATATATACATATATATATACATATATGAATACACATATACATTGAATTTAGTCATAATAGTTGTATCAATCAACGAATGGAAGTATTCATTTTCCGCTCCTTTTGCACATATATTTATATATACATACATACATACATACATATATGCATACATACATATATATGTATGTATGTATGTATATACATACGTGCGCGCGCGCGCGCGCGCGCGCGTGTGTGTGTGTGTGTGTGTGTGTGTGTGTGTGTGTGTGTGTGTGTGTGTGTGTGTGTGTGTGTGTGTGTATGTATGTATGTATATGAATATGCTTGTATATATGTATATGCAGATGCATATGTAAATGCATACGTACATGTATACGTTCATGTAAATGTATATTTATATGAATATCTATATGTATACTCGTGTGTATGCATACACACAAACACACACACACACACACACACACACACACACGCGCGCGCACGTATGTATATACATACATACATACATATATATGTATGTATGCATATATGTATGTATGTATGTATGTATATATTTATATATGTGCAAAAGTATGTATATATATATATAAACAGAAATTTATATACATATAAATATATGCATGTAAATACATGTACGTATGTGTGCGTATATATATATATATATATGTGAGTATGTATGAACCTCCCTCTCCCCCCTGAAAATACTCCAGGGACACCCCCCTCCCTCCCTCCCCCCTCCCCCCCTGAGCCCAGAGAAGCCCCGTCCTCACCTTGTAGACTAAGTCCACCTGCTTAGTGAGCTCTTCGACGTCGGCCATAGTGTCGCTCATGTTCAAGTCGCCCTTGATCGCGTCGAGCGGCAGCTGATGATCTCACTCGAAGATGCTGAGTGTTATCTCCTGACGTTTTTTCTTTTTTTCTTTTTTTTTCTTTTTTTTTTTTAGAGGCACGCGGCTAACCCCATGGCGGGCGAGGCGAACACTTCTCTTGGATCTGACATTATCTTTTTTTGGCGAAGGGGGGGGGGAACGGTCACTTCAAATTAGCACTTTGGAGAATATTAAGTTTGAAACTTTTTTCTATTCTTTGAAAAAGAAAATGTATTTCAAAAATTTGGGGGGTTTGGTCTTTTCTTTTATCAAGCACCTTTTATATATATATATCCCTTTTTTTATATATCTCTCTCCCAAGATGTCCGAGCGAAGCAAAACGTTCGGGTCTTTTCCACAGTCACACGCACAGGCACTCGAGGGAGCGGGTGTGAGGAGAGGCGCGCGGGCGGGAGAGACGGCAAGGTACTTCCGTTCGCCCCGACGGTCGGAGACTGACTGAGTGTTGCCCGCGACCCACTACGGCTTCCGCCCCGCCCTCCCTCCCCTCCTCCTCCTCCTCCATCCTCCCTTCTCCCTCTCTTCCTCCTCCTCCCTCCTCTCTCCTCCCTCCTTCTTCCTCTCTCCTCCTTCCTTCCTCCTCTCTCCTCCCTCCTCCCTCCTCTCTCCTCCCTCCGTCCTCCTCCCTCCTCCCTTCTCCCTTCTCCCTTCTCCCTTCTCCTCCTCTCTCCTCTCTCCTCCCTCCTCCCTCCGTCCTCCTCCCTTCTCCCTCCTCCTTTCTCCCTCTTTCCTCTTCCCTCTCTTCCTCCTTCCTCCTCCCTCCCCCTCCTCCCTCCTCCCTCCTCCCCCCTTCTCCTCCCTCCTTCCTCCTTCCTCCTTCCTCCTCCCTCCTCCCTCCTCCCTCCTTCTTTTCCTCCATTCTCTTCTCTTCTCTCATTGCCTCTCCCCTGTCGCAACTCTCCTGCATTCATTCCTCTCGTTTCATTTCCTTCCTTTTTCATTCCTTCCCCTCTTTCTTTTCTTTCTTTTGCTCCTCTATTCTCTCCTCTCTTCTCATTTCCTTCCTTCTTCCTTCTTTCCATCTTTCCTTTCCCCCTTTTTTCTCTTCCTTCTTTCATTCTACTATTCTCTCCTCTCTTTTAATTACTTCTCTTCTTCCTTCCTCTCTTCCTTACTTCTCGCTTCTCTTCCTGTTGTCTCTTTCCCACCCAACTTTCAGGCCTCCCCCCCCCCACTTCCTTTCCTCCCTCCCCCCCTTCCCTTTTCCTCTCTCTTCCTCTCTTCCTTCTTTACTCCTCACCTTTTCTTCCTTCCCCCCACCCCTCTCTTTCTCCCTTCTTCCATCCAAATCTCTTCTTCTCTCTTCTTCCATCTCCCTTTTTCTTACCTTTTCTCTTTCTCTTCCTCCTTCCTTCTCCTCCTTCTTCATCCACCTTTTTTCCTCTTCCTTCTGCCATTATATCCCTCCCATCTTCCTTCGACCCTCCACCTCTTCTCCCTTAGACCTTTCCCCTTCCACCTCATCCACCTTACCCCTTCCAGCCTCCCCCCTCCCAACATTCCACCCACTACCCTCCCCCCCCCCCCCCTTCCATCTTCCGGCCTTCCACCCCTCCACATTCCAATTTTCCACATTCCCCATCCAACCTCCACCTTCTCTCTCTCTCCCTTTCCACCTTCCACCCTCCACTCCTCCACCTTCCCTCTTCCACCTACCCCCTCATCCACCTTCCACCTTCCCCCTCTAACTCCCCCCTTCCACTCTTTCACCTTCCCCCTCATCCACCTTCTACCTTCCCCCTCCACCTCCCCCCTTCCCTCTTCCCCCTCATCCACCTCCCACCTTCCACCTCATCCACCTTCCACCCTCCACCCCTCCACCTCCCTCATCCACCTCCCCCCTCATCCACTTTCCACCCAACCCAACCCCCCCTGCTGATCCCGATGATGGTGATGACTGACGGATGGTGAGCGAGAGGGAGGGATGGTGATCGATGGTGTTGAAATGAAGGTGAAAGTGAGTGTGTGTTGTATAATTATGAAAAGGGATATAAAGTGATAATGAATCTTCAGATATGCAGCTAATTTTTTTTTATAGTTTTCTATGGCTTTCTTCCGGAAGTACTGATGATGTTTTACATTTTGTATGGGATTTTAGAGGAAGCTTGTGTGCGTGTGTGTGTGCTTGTGTTTGTGTGTGTGTGTGTGCCTGTGTGTGCGTGTGTGTGTCTGTATGTCTATATATGTATGCATATATGCACACATACACACACAGACACACACACACAGACATGCATACACACATACACACACACATACACACACACAAATATATGCTTACATGTTTAGGCACTCATGCACACATACACACACACACTATATATACATATATATATGTATATATATATATATATATATATATATATATATATATATATAT